CAGGGTTCCTGATTGTAAATATACTAGGCAGGAGCCGAAAACGCTGTTCTAGTTGTTAAAGGCCCCTGCAGTAAATGAATTCTGTCCGCTTACGTGTGGGCATCGTAGCGGCTCGTAGGGTGGCTTATAGGGTTTTTCGCTGTAGGGCAGCTTCAGCCATCAACCTTCGCAAAGCCTCTCAGCCTGACAATCACAACGCTAAATTAGGGTTTAGGATTTAGGGTTTAGGGTTTAAACCCTAAACCCCAAGCTCGGTAGTTGAAAACACAGTCCCGCCGTCGAAGTGGGAGGAGCAACAACAAGGTGTCCAACTCTGGCGCTTCGTCTGGAAGATATGTTTTGGATACTTAGGGGAGGGGCTCGTGCCTGTGCAACACATGCCCGCATGGCGCATTCACGAACCTACCAACTATGTATCCATGCACGGCAAGATTCTACCTGCATGCTTACATGCACACACCTTTCCCGCAACCCTAGACCCTAAATCCTAAACCCTAAACCCTGAACCCTAAACCCTGAACCCTGAACCCTAAACCCCAACCCCTGAACCCTAAACCCTAAACCCTGGACCCTGAACCCCAAACCCCAACCCTAAACCTCGAAACCCTAAACCCTAAACCCTGGGCCCTAAACCCTAAACCCCTAAATCCTGAACCCCAAACCCTAAACTCGAAACCCGTAAACCCTAAGCCTCTAAACCCTAAACTCGAAATCCCTAAATCCTAAACCTTAAATCCTAAACTCGAAACCACATCAGAGGAAACCTGCAAGGGATCCTTGGCAGGGTCCATGCGGTCCTCATTAGCAGGTACTTCAGCGATGGAAAGGTTTAGGGCTTCGGGTTTAGGGTTTAGGGGTTTAGGGTTTAGGGTTTAGGGGTTTAGGGTATAGGGGTTTAGGGTTTAGGGTTTAGGGTTAAAAACTTTGGTCGGGCGCATACAACCCCGCGGGCGGAATGTATAAGCGTTAACGTGCTGGGCATAACTTAACATCCCCGTATAACCCCGACATGGAGCCAAAAGACAAGGTGGCATTGGGGTACCCTGGGTACTCATACTGTATATAGCTCCAAACCATAAACTCTTAAACCTTAACCCTGAACCCGAACCCCCGAAATCCTAAAAAGATACGCATCTGTCGGAGGCGGTTTAGATTTTAGGGTTCAGTTCAGGGAGCAGCCTTGGTACTTCCTGATTGCTTCTACCTGTTGTCTCCATGGTGGTTCCTCTTGTGGGATACCTTCTAGGAGCCTAAATATAAAAAATAAGCAAGGGCAGTTGTTTGCACCCTAAACCCCTAAACCCTGAACCCTAAACCCTAAACCCTGAACCCCGAACCCTAAACCCTAAACCCGAAACCCCGAACCCTAACTCCTAAACCCTATAAACCCTAAGCCTTTTTTGCGGCAAGGCTCGATCCCCTTCTTGGGCTTCCTCTAAGATACAGCGCTCCGTGAGCATCCTCTGAGTGATTCCCGCCCCATGGGGGTTTAGGGTTTAGGGTTTAGGGGGTTTGGGGTTTAGGGGTTTGGGGTTTGGGGTTTAGGGTTTACGGGTTTGGAATTTAGGGTTTAGGGCTCAGGG